CTACAAAGCTTGCCGTTTACCCACTGAGCTCTCTTTAAATGCCCTGTCAAAATCCTTCTTGAGTAAATGGATTCCTAGTGGCCCTTGTTACTCAGTCAATGTGGAACAGATTTGAATAATCTGAAATACATTTCTGGAAATGTAATCTCATAAAACAAGACGTTAATGTTGCCCATGATAAAATTCTGAGCAAACCGAGCTTCCCACAGTGACTTCTCTTTCTGTTCCATGAGGATTAAAAACAAACAAACAAATAAAACAAAACAAAAACCTCAAAGTAGAAGCCTAACCGGATGTCACTGACAAGTGGTTAGAGGATGATTGTGCTTCATATCTAGTATTTGGAATTTATAATATTAACTAGACAGAAGCAAAGGGGGAAATGAATGATAAGCATTTTCTACTTACAAAGAGAATTATTGATTTTATATTTTGCTCTGCTGGGCTTCGATGACATATTTGAGTTGGGATTTGGAATGAGTGTACATTATATGACTCTTTGAAAATCATAATTATCCAAAGAAATCATAAACCTTGCATCTATCACTTACATGGTGACTGTAAAGCGTGGAACCTGGCTAAGTCTCCTCCAGTCGATAGCAGTCAGGCCAGCTCCGGAAGTTCCTGATGTCCTTGTCTCCATTCCCCAGGGGTGACAGAACCTGGACCAGCTGTGAGAAGCTTTTACTGGCTTTTTTTAATAGTTGTATAACCCATGTTTCATTATTTTTAAAGTTTTGTTAAATAATCATATGCCTTGTTAAGAAAATAAATAACACCAGTGGTTTCCTGTCTCTCCATACAAACAATCATTCCTGACCTCTTTAGACATTTCTGGGTGATCTCTCCAGACCTGTAAACAAGGTGCTTAGATCCACTTTACAGGAGCAGGAGGCAGATCGGTTCTTATCAACAGAGCAAGTGTTTGGACTGTGTCTGACACATCCTTAGCAACACTAGAGACCGGGAGGCACCAGAGCAATCTTATACTTTCTTTTTTCCCCCGAAGAAGTTTCCTGAGGACCTGGATCCCCTAGAAGAGCAACCGGTGTCCTTAACCACTGAGCTGTCAGTCTAGCCCAGTGGGTCTCAACCTTCCTAAAGCTGAGACCCTTTAATACAGTTCCTCATGGTGTGGTGATCCCCAACCGTAAAATTATTTTTGTTGCTACTTCATAAATGTAATTTTGCTACGGTGATGAATCGTAATATAAATATCTGTGTTTCCCACTGGTCTTAGGTGAGCCCTGTGAAAGGATTAGTCGGGGTTGCGACCCACAGGTTAAGAACCATTGCTCCAGCCCCTTCAGATGTTTTTATTGCAGATATTGAATGCGGCAATGTGATTCTAATTCAAGTCCATTTTCTTTTGTACTTGGGTGGGGCGTGCTGTGTGACAGCTTTCCTACGCGGTGACTTATCGCCATCTTCCACTTGTGTGAAGCAGCCTGACAATAAGAGGTCCTGCTTTTGCTCAAAGTTCACTGCCTCCTCACTTGAGCCTTCGAGGTAACTAAAAGGGGCGTGAAGCCCGGCCTTTCTCTTCCGTTTTGTGTCTGTCTCCTTTACTTTGGGTCAAATGTCAGCCTCCTGTTCTACTCCGAACAGGAGTGTGGTCACTCGAGGAGTGTCTAAAAACAAGCGACACAGGGTGCTCAGCCCTAAGTGATCTAACCCTCTCCAGGCTAAAGACACAAAGATAAGAATAACTAAGGCCGGGCGTTGGTGGCGCACGCCTTTAATCCCAGCACTCGGGAGGCAGAGCCAGGCGGATCTCTGTGAGTTCGAGGCCAGCCTGGGCTACCAAGTGAGCTCCAAGAAAGGCACAAAGCTACACAGAGAAACCCTGTCTCGGAAAAAAAAAAAAAAAAAAAAAAAAAAAGAATAACTAAGATATTTTACTATCTGCCTTTACAGCATCCGGTCCCAAGGCCTAGGTGCCCAAAAGTCTCCAGTTCTGTCCTGAACCTGAAGTCACCTTGGATTCCAGGAATGTGAAGCCTTGCAGGTCACCCCTTGATGAGATCACCCTTAAGTGGAAGCAATGTTCCTATGTTGGGAACCGAGGAGCAACCATCTCATGGGAACTGGCTTGTCCTCTCTTCTGATAAGGACTTTTCCAGAGTTGCCCTATAGAATGAAGACCAAGTAGACCACAGACTGATGGAGACTGCTTAATTATGCATGTGATGTACAATTTCTCCTCGCCCTAACCCTACAGCTCCTGTTGGGTCCCAGAAGACTCAGTGCTTCATCTCTGTCTTCCCAACATTGCTATATCTGGTCAAAATGCTTCCCTGATTTTCCATTATTACTTTCCCACTGACTTCCGGGGCTAATGGACAGACCTGATTTGTTGAGACTCCTGGAGTCCAGCCACTGGCCACTCTAGACTTGAGTAAGTGAACTAATACATAATGCACTTGTTACAAGGTGATGTAACCATCTGCTGCTTTGACTTTTACTCTGACAACTACGTAAAGACCCAGATATTTAACAGGGAACTCCAAATACCAGCATATGGAGTCTTATCTTTGAGAAGAGAGCGAAGTGTTCGAGGTTACCCCTCTCCATCTGGCTGGGTCCACAGAAGTAGAGTGAGTCCTGTCTGGCTGCCAGGTGACTGTCAAGAGGTCATTTGCTCATCCGTGGGATGTTATTAATTGCCACAGATCCAGCTCTGTTGTTCACTCAGCTGATGTTTACAGATTGCCCGGGCCCCCAGAGTTTGTGTTGTGAAAGATCTCCGTCTGGGTTTTAGCCTCCAGCCCTCACTTATACAATGCAGGTTTGACATCCCGGGTCCTCCTGTCAAAATTCCTCTGTCCACCACCCACCTCCAGAAACTCTTTGAAATCACCTCTCTGCCGTGAGTCCCCCCATCATTGCTGGATTTGTGTCATTTTTCAAGTGCTTTTACTGTTATCTTGGTATCATCTTGGTTAGGAGAAATCAAGCATGCTTAATCTGCTATCTTTCATCAAATTCTTGTTTACTGTCTGGGTTGGTACAGTTCCAGGGCTCCACGTCTGAAGTCCGAGGCCTTTTGCATGCTTTTCTTGAAGTTGAAGGTCCTGGATACTTCTGAGGCAAGGTAGTCCTCCCCCAGGTGACACACTTTAGTTGAGAGCCCTTTAGAGATTGTTGCCAAATGTAACCCCCAACCCCAGTCTTTCTGAATTTGCAATTAGCAGTGGAAAGGATTTTAGGCAAGGGTTCAGGAACGGTGTTCCAAGTAATGATGGAAACCATTTATGAATAAGATATAATCACTGCCAAGCTCTGAAGTCCTTAGGAGCATGCCTTTTAGTGTAACTACTAACATCTCATTCCTCTGGGCCAGTGCAGGAAGTCAGTATGCATACTAGCTCCAGAATGGATGTGGGTTCTTCCTTTACAATAGAGGAGTAATTCCATTCTGAATAAGAGTCATTCATTGGCTTCTAATTCACTGTTACCATTACGTTTACAATACGAACATGCTGAATAAAAGATAGTGGAATTTGCGAGCATTTAGTCATTTTAAAATGTTACTGGCAATTGACTATAACTTCCACAGATGAAGAACAAACCCTCAACCAGCTAACCAGAAATAACAGTAAATTGGTAACCACATCCCTATTTAAGGGATATGATAATAGTTGTCCATGTCTATGGCCATACTACCCTGAATGTACCCAATCTCAATTGGTAATAGTTGGCCATGTTAAAGGAAAACCATGTTATAGTCTAAGAAAGGCATCATTCTGGACAATTTTCAGTATTAGATGTGCTTAGAGCTCATCAAAGAGTCACAGGAAAGCAGAGGCATAGGGCCCCTCTCCCCAGCTGGCACCTGGCACCTGATGATCTCAGAATTCAAGAGTTAGAATATCGCCTGCAGCCTGCTACATGATGGAGTCCATGATCAGAAAAGGGGGCAGGAAACAGCCCCAGGATGTCCATCAGATAAAGCTGTGCACCCTCAATGATAGGGTGAGGATTTGGAAGGACTGTCTTTGAAAACTGCAAGTAGTGTAACTCTTTGGAGTACCAGGGAAGGGGACAGGGAAGTCCTGTGACTCGGACTAGAGAAACCAATCTTGCGCTGAATCAGCTCGCCAGCCAGATTCACCCTTTCCTGATGCTGCTTGTCTCTTTCTGCAGAATGCTGTATTTAAAATAGTTGCACTTTCACAGACTGAGGGTCTTCTCAGTCACATGTGCGTTGATCACCACTGAATCAGAGCAGCAGTGACCAGTATGCATGTCATCAAGATGGGATTTAAAGTGGAAAATTGGTTACACAGATGACAGAGAATCAGAGACACTCAGATTAGTGGCAGCAGGAGTCACTCCCAGTCTGTGTGACAGGAACAATCAGAGTCTACTGAGGTCACTGACAGCAGTTGGAGACAGGGCAGATTTTCCTGACTGGAGCATCCCATAGTTAGAATCAGTGGCACATTCAAGGCCCACAGGCTTAGCAAAAGATGTCTGGCCTTCCCCTCTCTCCCATCCTCCAGCGGTTCTCATGGACTGATTCCCACAAGAGCCTCCCTGACTTGCAAGCCTGGGAAACCTGTTTGCAGGGGTCAGCACCTGTAATGCAGAGCCATTAGGAGAAGCATGAAGAATGGATCTGAAAGCAAGTAGGCTATGGCCTGTGCATTGCATTGCACACATTATGGACACTCCTTAGATTAAATGTCTAGTAAGACACTCTGCATCATATAAATATGTGTGCATGTGTGCTTCTGCAGCTCCCTGCCTGCAGTCAGATGAGCCATAAACTGTTGCTAATGTAGTTGTCAATGACATGATATTTTAAAATGTATAAGCCAGGAAGTTTATTGACCATCCATCTTTGAGCAGAAAATTATTTCCATCTTCTGGTTTTATTTCCAGTCACAACACTACGAGTATCTGGTCCCAGATGCATGGCTACCATTCCCATGACTGCATAAACACCACACAACCCACACACATACTGCTTCATCTGTGTGCCCTTTAAACCAACGCCATCTAAGCTTAACGACATTTGGGGGCAGTTTTCACAAGAAGGTAATGGAGTAACGTTCTGAAACCTGGCCTTCACAGGTGACAAAGGACTGCTCCTTCTCTCTCTCCAAAAGCTGGTGGAGAAGCACAGAGCTGGCTATTTCCCCTCACCCTTTCCACCTGGCAGGTGGCAGGATAAAGCGTTAGTTGCAGACAGTGCCTTCTTAGATTCTGAAACGTATAGGGCTTGTGGAGAATGCTGGCGTCTGGCCTTCTTTAGCTGAGAGCATCCAGCTACAAAGGAGGTGGGAAAGGCTGGGAGGCGGCGCTGGCAGTCTGCTGTCTCCAAAGTCTGAGGGTCCAGCATTCAGAGAGCCAGGCTGTACACACCCCTGTGGGTACCGACTCACTTCCGACTTCTCGGAGTCCAAGGGTCTCGTGTCACTTTCCCTTTGGTCAAGAAGACTTTAAAGAATGAGAAAATAGAACCCCAAAGCCGTAGGTTATGCTGGCTGTTGCATCCTTGCCTTTTGCTGCAAGGATGTTAGAGCTTGGAAGAGCAAAAGAAACCACATGCGCATCCTAAATAATGGTAACGACATCGGGTTGGGGGGGGGGAGAAAAGGAGACTATGTAATAAATTAGAGGGGGTACACCCCCAGGCAAATGATTAGCCCTTATTCCAGTGTTGTTAGGCCCTGTAGAGAAAAAGGTCTGCATAGCAGCTCCTCAGACCAGCTAAAGCGGCCTCTGGAGTGACCTAGATAATCAAGTATTCTGGAGGGCCCTGTGATTTCAGCACTTAGCAGTGTTGGGAAGCCCCAGTAAGACAACAGGAGTTCCTGGCAGAGGCGTGGCTTTCCCAGCTAAGGAATCTCAGCACTGCTCAGAACAGTGGAGCCTCGCAGAGGGGAGACTAGACTCGGTGGAGGAAGCTCTAAACCGTGCTTGCAACAAACAGCATGTGTCTGCAGTCGTTTGTGTGTACTCACAAGCTCTTATGTGGCATATTTTTTATTTTCTCTTGTGTGTTAATTAGGAGAGGAATCGCTGGGTCCCGCGGAAAGTTTAACATTCTGAAGAACTGCTATGTCCTTATTTCCCAACAAACCCCACCAGCAGTGTATGAACCTTCATATCTCTCCATCCTCATCAACGTTTGCTACTATCTGCCCTTTCCACTGCAGCCATCATAGAGGGATATGGTATGCCATTGTGATTTTGATTGGCACTTCCCTGGTGATTAATAATTTGAGCATCTTTTCATATGTTTGTTAACCACATTAAAATTTCATTTATTTTATGTATGTATGTGTATGTATGTGGTGTGTGTGTGTGTGTGTGTGTGTGTGTGTATGTGTGTGTGTGTGTAAATCAGAGGGTAACTCAGGTTCCAGTTCTCTCCCTCTACCATGTGGGTTGGGTTCTAGAATCGGAAGCCAGGTCATCAGGTGCCTTAACTCACTTAGCCTTCTCAGCAACTCAAACCATTTATATATCTTCTTTAAAGAAATGCCTATTTGGGTTATTAGTCTTTCTATTATTGGGCTGTAAAGTGAGTCTTCATATAGTCTAGGTATAACTCCGGTTTTAGAAATAATTTGCAGATAATTTTTCCTATTGTGCTGGCTGTTCTAGGATGCCTCTCTCCCCCGCCCTCTCCTGTGTTCACATTGGCACGGGTGAACGTGTGTGCCTCAGAGTGTGTGTTCCTCTAGCATCTTCCTCCTTGGTGCTTTGTTTGTTTTTGTTTTTTTGGTTTTTCGAGACAGGGTTTCTCTGTGTAGCTTTGTGCCTCTCCTGGAACTCACTTGGTAGCCCAGGCTGGCCTCAAACTCACAGAGATCCTCCTGGCTCTGCCTCCCGAGTGCTGGGATTAAAGGCGTGCGCCACCACCGCCCGGCTTCCTAATCTGATTTTTAATCATAGTTTCCAGTATCCAATGCACTGGATTCATCTGATGCACTGGTCTTTCGGGCAAAGTCTTTAATCCTCCCTTTTACTTCCGCCCAACTCCAACTTCCTTGGAATAAATAAAAGCTTCAGTTTGCTTGTTATATGAAAACTGGAACTGGACATGTGCACTGTCCATGTGTTAGTGAACTTCCTAAAAAATGCCTGACTAGCTAACTCACCTGAGAGAGCTCTGGGGGTTCCAGGCATTGCCATGTTTGGCCCTGCTGCTTCTGGCCTATGGTGAGGCTGCACTTTATGGTGGGAAGTGTATTACCATGCAAACCTGCTCACTTCGTAGTGGGTAAGTGAGCAAGCGATGGGAGGTTTTCTACCCCTTCTACTACACACCCACAAGGCCACACGCCTCCTAAGTTTCTGCTGCCACCCAGTACTGCCATAGTAGACACTAAGCCCTCAATACATGGGCCTTCATGGGACATTTAACATTCAAATGACAGGAGCTTAAGACTCTGGAGTACAAATGACTTTTTTTCATCTATCTATGTGTGTGGTATGCATGTATATGTGTTCATATGTATATGGGCACATGTAAGTGTGTGTGAATACTTGTACATGTGCATGATGGCCTGAGGCTAATATAGAGTCTTCCTTCCTCAATTGCTCTTCACCTTATTCATTGAACCCAGAATTTGCTAATATAACTAGTCCAACTACCTCCGGGAATCTCACTCCGCCAACTCATGTAGATGTAGGTTCAAGATAGTCTAAGCTCTAGGCTCATACTTGGACAGCAAATGCTTTATCTACTGAGCCATATTCTCACAGCCCCTAAATGACATTTTAGTAACAGATTATTTTATGTGTATGAATGTTTTGCCTGCATTATGTATGTGTACCACATGCATGCCTGGTGCCCACAGAGGTCAGAAAAGGGCATTGGATCTTCTGGAATGGGAGTTAGGATGGTTGAGCTACCATGTAGCTGCTGGGAATTGAACCTGGGGCTTCTGCAAGAGCAGCCAGTGCTCTAAACCACCCAGCCATGTCTGCAGCCCCTTCCCTAGGATAATTTTTGAACAACAAACTTTTAAATAAAATCCTAAGCCTTTCCAGGCCTTATTCTCTCTGTTATGAACTGGAGGAAGGTCTTGGAATCTGGGCTTGACCAATTTCTAAGCATGCTTCCCCTCTAACATTCAAGAAAATTAATAACAATGAAGTTTAGAGCCATTCCTGGCAGCATGCAGGGCTCAGAGAAAGACACTTAGAGTAAACACTGCATTATGTGTTGCTGTGTTCCTCAGAGAACTGTGACTTACACATAGTAATTAGTAAACTGAATCCCTATTAAACCCATTGAGACCCATAGCTATAAAAAACATTGTCTTTGTTAGAGTTTCTACTGCTGTGAAAAGACATCATGACCAAGGCAACTCTTATAAAGGAAAACATTTTATCGGGGCTGGCTTATCGTTTAGAGGTTTAGTCCATTATCATCATTGTGGGAAGCATGGCTGCATGCAGGCAGACATGGTGCTGGAGAGGTAGCTGAGAATTCTACATCCAGATTGGCAGGAAGCAGAAAGAGAGAGCCACTGGGCCTGGCTTGAGCATTTTAATCCTCAAAGTCCACACTTAGTGACATACTTCCTCCAATAAGGCCACACCTACTCCAACAAGGCCACACCTCCTAATAGTGATACTCCCTGGTGACCAAGCATTCAAATATATGAGCCTATGGGGGTCATTCCTATTCAAATCACCACAACCATTACGATATTATTATCCACTCAGTGGTGGTGGTGGCATACACCTTTAATTCCAGTACTCGGGTGTCAGAGGCAGAGGAGCATCTTTATGATTGTGAGGCCAGCTTAGACTACAGAGTTAGTTCTAGGACAAGGGTACACATAAAGAAATCCTGTCTGGAAAAAACAAACAAAACAAAAACAAAACCAAGATGGTATGATCCAAATTTATATCCTGAGATTCTTTGTCCCATGGATCTATTTAGCTGATTCAGCACTTTCATCTGTAGGTGTAACAGGTGTCAGAATTGTGCCAAAAATAGGACCTTTGGTTCCTAAATTTATCCCTCCCTTCTCTGTACCATGCTAGACTTTCTAATTTTAGTAGGTGGCCTTACCTCCAATAAGATGCTCATCAAAATCCTAGGTATCAATCAGAGCTGCTCTTCTTCCTTCAAGGTTATCCCACTACTCAAAAGCCTTGTCTCAAGGCTGGGGAGATGACTCGGTGGTGAAGAGCACTTCCTGTGCAAGTCTGAGCACCCATGAGCAAAGACAGCACTGACCATATATGCCTGTAACCACAGTGCTGTGGAGCAGAGACAAATGGGTCCCAGCTCAGTGTCCAGTCAGCCTAGCTGAAACGGACCTTCTGTTTAGTGAATAGCACTGCTTTAAAGGGATATGGTGGAGAGTACCAGAGGAAGACACTCAACATCTTCCTCTGGCCTCCACAGTCATGTGCTGGACAGGCACATGACCCGAAGACCCGTGGTACCCACGCGCATGTATCACACACACACACACACACACACACACACAGAGACAGAGACAGAGACAGAGAGAGAGAGAGTGCCTTGTCCTTACCTTCTAAACACAGGTGTTTGTTACTTTCTGTCTTAGGGTTTCTATTGCAGGGAAAAGACCATGACCGCAGCAACTCTTATAAGGAAAACATTTAATTGAGGTGGCTCACTTACAGAAGTGTCCATTGTCATCATGGCAGGGAGCATGGTGGTATGCAGGCAGACATGGTGCTGGCTACATCTTGAAGGCAACAGGAAATGGTCTCAGACACTGGGTGCTGTCTTGAGCATAGGAACCCTCAAAGCCCGCCCCCACAGTGACACACTTCCTCCAGCAAGGCCACACCTACTTCAACAAAGCCCCACCTCCTAATAGTGACACTCCCTATGAGCTTATGGGGGCCAATGACACTCAAAGTACCACACCTCCTTACCTTCTCCAGAGTTCAACACTCTTGTTCCGGGGGACTCTATTCTCTTCCCTGAGTTCCTCTGGTAGCATCTTTCTGAGGACCCTCATTCTACTCCATCATGTCAACTTGACAGCATCTAGAATCACCTGGGAGGTGGGCCTCTGGCATGCCTGTGTTAGGAAGTATCTTGGTTATGTCAGTTGATATGGGAAGACCCATCTTACCATGGGGTGGGGCTTAGACTGGATCAAAGGAGAAGAGGGAACTGAGCTGAGCACATGCAGCCATCGCTCAGCTTCTCAGTTACAGATGCAATGTGATCAGTTCCCTCAATCTGCTACATCTGTGCTTTCCCAGTCACGACGAGGACTGTAATCAGGAAATGGGAGCCAATTAACCGTTTCTATCTTAAATTGCTTTTATCGGAGTGTTTTTTCCATAGCAACAAGGAAAGAAACTGAAACACCTGCCTACAGTCTTTTCTCCACATCAGAGCCAGGATGAAGCTATAAAAACCCAAAGCAGACCATACCACTGTGTGGTCCAAATTCTCCAAAGACTTCCCATCACCCCCAACAGAGACCCAAATCCTAACCCTACCCTTGAAACCTCAAGTGATGGTGTCTCTGGTGTCTCACTTCCTCCTAGTGTTTGCTCCCATGAGGCTCCATCTGGTCCAATGGAATCCTTGTGCAATCCACCAGGTTTTTCCTTGGATCTTCCTTGGAAGATCCCGCTGCCCGCTGCCTGTGGGATGACTATTCTTGCTTGTCAACTTGACCACACCAAAAACTAAAACCCACCTGTGAGGGATTTTTTTTTTCTTAATTCAATTATTTAAAATGGGAAGACCCAGTTTTAATCCAGATCTCCTGAGGTTGGAAGATAGACCTTTCATCTGGATCTTTTGAGGTGGTTGATCTGGGCCACAGCCTCTGGTGGCAGCCTGTATGAAGGACGTGGAAGAAGGAAGCTTGCTCTCACTCTCACTGGCAAGTCCATCCTTCAGTGGCATTAGCCTCTACTGCTTCAGGATTCCAGCTTATACTGAAGACCATCTGAGACATCCAGCCTTGTAGACTGAACAACTGCTGAATTCTTGGGCCTTTCATTGGTAGACAGCCATTTTTTGACTAGCTGGACTACAGCCTGAGAGCCTATAAGCCATTCTAATAAGGCCCATATACATACATTTACATATTATATATAAATATATATTAATTTATATATAGAGAGAAACAGAACTATATGAATATAGATATTCATTCTATCAGTTCTGTTCCTATAAAGAACCCTGACTAATACAGCCTGCAACACCAGCTCATCTGAAATTTCTCTCTCTCTCTCTTGTTTCATTGAGGTCTCTGCTTCAATGTCACAAC